GCGTTGGTCGTGAATGGGCCCTGGTACAAGGAATGAGATGGGTGCCCCTCCTGTCTATTTCACTCCCCCCACCCCGCGTCTCTCCAGCCTAGCGCCCAGACCCATCATACCCATGGGCCGTGGTGCAGTTGCACCGCCTGCACACCCGGCGAGGGCGCCGCGTTGTCCGCGAAGGTCGCGCAAAGTTTGTAGCCGGTACGGCCTCAACGTTCCTACAACCAAGGCACGCACACAGACACGTTTGTGTGTGTGTGTGTGAGATTTCATTACTTTATCTCTCGCGCGCGCGCTGCGCTCTCTTAATCGACTTTGGGTCGTCGCCTCTCCCGCGTGCGCTCGCTCGACAGCCCGCGAGCGCCCCGAGGGAGTCGCAAATTCGCGCTCATTTCATAAACATCTGTCGGGACTACCGCCACCCTCCCCGGGACTACCATGGCAGCACCCCCCCCCCCCCCGCAATAAACTCGATCCGCACGCTCGCTGCCGCCAGCCGCCGCGAAATAATAAACCGGGCGAGCGATGAATTCCCTCTCGCCTTGGACGTGCAGGTGACGCATCGCGAGCGACACCGCTGCGTCTCTGTAGAGACGTTTTTATTTCGCTCTCTTTGACAATTCACGCGACACCCCCATCCCGTCCACCGTAGAATGCCAAACCCCACACTCATCCTCCTCCTCCATCCATCCATCCCAATCTTCCCCCCATCCCCATCTGCCCCCCCCCCCCCACTCTCCTCCCCACTCACTCTGCATCAATTCCCCGGGTGTTATTAAGCGCGTTAATCCAAACGCGATGTCGCACGGGGCGTCGTGCATGATATAAGCGGTCACTGCCGTAGCTTTTGATAAAATGTCACGGCCACCTATCTTCGGGCTACGAATGCCAATGAGAATATCATTTATTCACGCAAGTTAGAAGAAACATAACAACAACAACAACTTATTACCGAGTCGAAAGAATTGTGTCGTTTCAAAAGGGTCCGAACGTGAGATGCTCGGTCGAGTTAAAAAAAATGTTCGTACGAAGTACGGCACTGAATTTCCTTCATGTGTGAGGAGAAGGGGTTTTTTGGGCCGGAGCCACGCCCGGCCACCTTTGTCTCTCCCAGCGCGGTTGTTTTACGACACGCCACGTCACCAGGTACTACATTTTCAAGGCTGAGTCAACCTAGAGGGAGGCGCACTTGTCGTAATTTACCTACACGGGGCACCACGGTGGTGAGATATTAACAACCTCGCCTGGTATGCAGGAGGTCGTGGGTTCGATCCTGACCATGACTCCTGTACATTTGGAGTTTGAGTGTCTCTCTCTCTCTCTGCGTGGTGGCGTGGGCTATTCTCTGGCTTCTCCAGGTTTTTCCCTCCACATTTAGAATCAACATCACGCGTTTAGAGTCTTTTCCACGTGATGAGCCACTTCGTTGAGCTTTTATTTGTTACCAAGGTCGCTTCTGAAAAATAACTATACCAGCTCAGCGGGCCTCACCTGGTAGTAAAAAAAATAATAACATATATAGTTGAATAGTTCACATCGCCGGGAATCAAACCTTAGTTTCACTGCACGGTGACAAGTGGCCACGTCTGAAGAAGAGCACTCGGAAGACATTCCACAGACCGGTGAGAAACCTACTTGCTGTACTGCCCTGTGCAAGCACCGCTTAAATCGTCGCTTCTCTGTATGATCCGTCAGCCATTGCCAATAATTCCTGTGCACTCGAGAAATGATGGCCAAAGACACTTCAGTCGCCCCCGTTGCCGAGATAAAAACAACAATAACAATAACTGCTCGCGTGCCAAAGCAGACGTCAACAATATCGCCCGATAATGCAGCGGGAAATCGGCAAAATCCGCTGTAGAACGACGGCAGAAAAGGACTCGGGTCGCACATCGGACAGCACTGAAGGCTGGCGAAGGAACGGCGGGGCCAACGCAGACATCGTCTCGAATGACCGACTCATCGTGACAACCACCACCACCACCACCCAGCCACCAGGAGGCTCTCTGGGGTGGCAGGCGGACTCGGCAACTATTGTACGGAGGTTCAGGGTTAGGGTCAAGTCTAGGGTTAGTGGCTCGGGCGAGGGTTAGGGGCTACATATAGATGAAGGTCTATAGGGTTACCGGCTAGTATCGGCACAAACGCAAAGCAAGCCTGCATTGTACATGCAAGCTTTCGCGACCAATATTATCAAATTGTCTGGGTTAGATCGCGTCAACGTATGTGTGTCGTAAACACGAGCCCGAGTGGAGGCGAAGTGCGTCGCGTTGTGAACAGCGCCACGTTCACAACTCGAGTGAACGACTTTTCGCCGTGGCGATTACGACAACGGGCATCGTCGTCGTCGTCGTCACCACGATCATCATCGGCAGGCGATGCGGTGCCGGCATTGTGCAGCGCCACCACCGAACTCGCAGACTGAGCAAAGTTGGAGCCATTGCGTGTGCTGGGTCGGCGGCGGGGGGGGAAGGCGGTGTTTGTGTGGGCGGGGGGCACGACCGATGTTTTACAAAAGCCAGCCCCACGACAGTCTCTCCGCTTGATGTATTTTGGTAATCGTTTCTCAAGCGTGCTCGGGACACGTCAATAGCAACACAGAGAGCGGCGAGAAACAACAACTGGAGACCAGGGGCGGCGGAGAGGGGAAGGGGGGGAGGAGGAGGGGGTGGAACGATTGTTTCAAAAGTGTGCGTCTCGCCGCCCAACATCAATCCCCTCCCGCGTGGCTTGCGAATGAGTCGGGTCGGCGGAGTGCATTCATCGCTGCGCTGTCTGTGTCTCTCTCTTTCTCCAGATCAATCCGGGGGGTGGCCTTCGAGGAGAGCGCGGGGGGAGGGGGGGGGGGGGGGCTACTTAGTCCTCTAATTGGTGAGATGAGTGAGGAGTTCAGGCTTACAGGGGTGCTCACAGCACCAGCAGCCGCCTCAATTCCCCACCAACACTTTCGAGTGTCTGTCACTTGCTCTTTGTAATCGCGCGCTCGCTCGCTCGTCTGCGTTGCGTGGCTCAAGTCCCCAGGATGCACAGGGGAAGCCGTCACGCAGTGATTTTTGCAACGCCGCGTTGGTGACCCCGCAAAGGTCGAGGGCGGCGCGCTGTGGATGTGCGTGGAGCCGGGCCGAGCTGAGCGAGCGATTGCCCGGGCGCAAGCTCAGCTCTGGGACATACACGCGTGCGTAGGCACATTTATGAGGATTCAAAATGAGACTTCAATTTGAGGTCCCTCCTTCCCTCCCATCATCCCTCCCCCTCTATTTGGTCAAGCGAGAGCTCGTATTGCAGTCACATAGCTCCCCTGTTAAGCCTCTCATAAGCCACTGCGGGAGCATAGCGCACCGTAAAATCCATTACCATCAATTGCATTTCAGATTTTCACCGTGGTGGAGGCAGCTCATGGTGAAGACCGCCCACAGGGCTCACCTCGCCAACCTTGACATGACACCAGGCCTCGCTCTTCGCGGATGATGGGGGGGGGGGGGGGCGGGGTGGCACCGTCAAAGTGATTAACCGCTAAGTACAGGGTGGTCCAGATGTCTTATGACCCCGGTGGCGAGATGTTATCTGCCTCGCCTGGTATACAGGAGGAGGAGGCCCCTGGGTTCGATCCTAACTCTGACGCCTGCTGTGTATTTGTTCCGTCTCCCCGTGGCCGCGTGGATTTTTATCTCCGGGTCCCTCCGGCTTTTCCCCCTCCACATTTAGAATCAACGCGCCGCTCAGAGTATTTGGCTGCTGCTATAAATGTCCACACGTTGATAAGCCACTCCGTGATAGCCAGGTCAAGTCTGAAAAGAGCTGTGTAGCTCGGTGGGTCTTACCAAGTAAAATTAAAAAAAAAAGTTTAATTGTAGTTTTTATTCTCTAAAACGTAACATTTCCTCCGTAAGCTTTATTTTAAATGAGAAATTAATATGCAAAGAGAGTAAGGTTTATTTAAAACTGAAATTAATGTGCAAAGGGAAAAACAATGCATCAATTTGGGGGGTGGGGGGGGGGCTCACAAGACACCTGGACCACCCTGTAGAGAGTGAACTTTGGTGGGGGTGGCGGGGAGGATGGGAGGGGGCCAAGGGACACCGTGGTTGGTGCAGGGCTCACCCCCGGTACCCCTTCTCGTGACAGCCCCCCGACACGACGCGATTGGGCTCTTCACGTGCAACCCAGCTGTGAGCGTGCCGACGGCATCACCACGCCGTGTTGTTTGGTCATGGCGCGGGGGGGGGGGAGGAGGGAGGGGGTATTTGCCCATATTTCACCACACTGAGCGGTGTGGCTTGCTGAACGGCGGTGACCCAGGACAACGTGCAGATACCGCTCCCCCCCCCCCCCCCCCGTCGACGCGAGCCGTGGCAGGCAAACAAATCCGCGAACCCAGAAGTGTCGTTGGCGCAGCGCGCTCAAGATCGCCGCTGGCCCCCCGTGGCGCATCAAAATCGTTAGCGCTGCCGCCACGAACGGTGCGAGAACGTTGCAATGTCCTCGGCGTCGCCGTTGTCTCATGCCGATGCTGTGCGGGCGACACGCGCGTCGCTCGACGAACCGCGACGCTGGTGCACAACGTGAACCCGTTGTTCATGCGCGCGCAGGAGCAAAGACGAGCGGACCCTAATGATGATTTATTTACTCATTGAGACTCAAGAGCCGTTCAGGGGTGGTCCTGCTGGATTTGGGCTCTTTGACCAATTCCCATTTTGAAACAAATCTGCAAATGACCAGAAATCCCATCATCATGGGCACATCAGTGTAGGCAATTTTATTTATTTATTTATATAAACGAGTGGTCAGCTTTACACCAGCGATGAAACACGGGCTCGTGAATGTGCGAATAACTGCAACTATATCTATCTAAGAGAAACCGCGTCATTTACACCCATCCCAGAGGAAGCTTTAAAAAGGGCGAGTGTGGGGGGTGGAGTGGGGGGTGGAGTGGAGGGGGGAGGTCTCCATCAGAACAGGAATCCACACGCTCGCTCTCTCTCTATATATATGGGAGACGCAGCGTGCTGCTGAAAGAGACCGCGGCTTGATCTTCACGTAGCCCCCCCCCCCCCCCTCCTGCGCGTGTGTCCGAGTCTTGCGTCCGCGTCAGCCCGCAGCAGTCACTCACCCACCCATCGAGCGCCCTGCACTCTACCACTCCGTCACTCACTCACTGACTCGACCCACTCTCACACCCCCTTCACCGATGGAAGCCAAGGCGGTGTCTGCGATGCTTCTTCTAGCTCTGGCCAACTGTGTCCTCGTGTCTGCTGCGAGAGGTTCCTTCTCGTCCATGGAGGAGGCGGCGATGCCCGACAGTGACAGCCCCCTTACCAAGGACTACCTGGCGGAGGTGAGTGGTGACAGTCACACCTGTCTGCCTGTCTGTCTGCCTGTCTGCGGGTTGTGTTATACGTTTAAGTGGGGAGCGGTTGGAGCGCTGCGCTACAGAACCCGGCGACCAGAGTTCGATTCCCGTTCACGGCCAACGCCGGTGACGATTATCTGAAACGGTCCTGGGCCTCCCCTATGTCGACTCAGCCACAAATGAGTAGCTGGTGCGGTGTGTAAACATCGCCACTGGGGAGACAAAGGCGGCCGGGCGTGGTGCTGGCCAACCACCCCCTCATGCGCCGTTCCGGCCTTCGTAGGTGCTCGCTAACAGCACTTGCCCCAAAAGTAGTTTTAGGCTATACGGGGGATCTTTGTTATTAGTTTATAGTTGTCAAAGAGGTAAAGGTGCGGCCCTGAAATTGCGAGCACGCAATTGCAGACGGGTGTTGGACGAAGCAGGCATACCCAGAAACTTTACTCAACCACAACACTTGCCCCCGAAGTGTGTCAAGGCTATACGGGAGACCTTTGTATTTATATGGCACTTTGCGCAACCTCACAAGACATTAATTGGTGATGAGCTCTTTTATACTGACTGGTTGCACTTACAATTCAGTGCTCACTGCTCAGGCTGATTTGGAGTCGGGATTATCGGCGTAAGACACTACCACTAGACTGAGTACAAGGTAAGCTTATCGAAAATTACCCGATATTATTGTACCCCATCAGCTTTATAAATCGTAAATACATCGAGGTGGACGTGGAGTGCCACAAATAATTCCCGGAACAGCGTTCTGGAATGTTCCGGCTGAAAAGTACTCACCGCTTACATTACAAAGACAAAGGTCCCCAGTATAGCCTCCACTGACTCTGAAGGCCGGCACGGCACACGAGGGGATGGGTGGCCAACACGACGCCCGGCCGCCTTTGTCTCCCCAGTGGCGATGTTTACACACCACACCAGGTACACACACACACACCGATACGGGGCACACACGCGGATACAACTTGTGTACTTGCACGCTGCTCTGCGTTGTGACAAAGGCCCACCAGTGCTTAAGCTTGTGTGCAACAAGCATAATCGGATAATCGATTATTTGAGAATCGACGAATTTTTTTTTTTGCAATCGTGATGAGTGAAACAAAATTTCGTGGCGAAAACCGTTCGCGTACAAGCGGTTTAGTGATCGGAAACAATAATAATATATTCCTACTTGCAGGCCGGAGAGCTGCGCGCAAGTTGTGCCGCACAGGGACAGCTGCCACTGGGTGTGGTGGTCGTGGGGGTGGGAGGCACTTTCGCCGATGAGACATTGGGGGTTTGGACAGCAGCACGATGATGATTATTGGGTTTTTTTTGCACATTTCGTGGATTGTCGGGGGCGGGGGGGGCGCAAGTGGCTCCTGGCCGGGCCCTGCAATGAAAGAACACCGCCTTACACACACTGCACCGCCTTACACACACCGCCTTACACACACTGCACCGCCTTACACACACTGCACCGCCTTACACACTGCACCGCCTTACACACACCGCCTTTCACACACCGCACCGCCTTACACACACCGCCTTACACACGCCGCCATACACACACCGCCTTACACACACCGCCTTACACACACCGCCTTACACACACTGCACCGCCTTACACACACCGCCTTACACACACCGCCTTACACACACCACACCGCCTTACGCGCACCACACCGCCTTACGCACACAGCACCGCCTTACACACACCACCTTACACACACCACCTTACGCACACCACACTACCTTACACACACCGCCTTACACACACAGCACCGCCTTACGCGCACCACATCGCCTTACACGCACCACACCGCCTTACACACACCGCCTTACGCACACCGCCTTACGCACACCGCCTTACGCACACCGCCTTACGCACACCGCACCGCCTTATGCACACCGCCTTACACACACCGCCTTACACACACCGCCTTACACACACCGCAACCGTCTTACGCACACCGCCTTACGCGCACCGCTGATATAAATGTCCACGTGATGAGCCACTTCATTGAGCTACCCATTTCTGGCCAGGTCGCTTCTGAAACAAAAATTCTTCATAGCTCAGTGGGCCTTACCTGGTAAAAAAAAATGGTTTTAGTTGTAGTGTGGAGAGAGCCTTGGTTAAAATACAAAGTGAGAGCGTGGGATGTTGATGATAACAACATTCCACACTATATCCTTAGTTCTTTCGGTAAAGTCACGTTGAAGGGAAACAACACACTGCACCGCCTTCAACGTGACTTTACCGAAAGAACTAAGAATATGAATTTCTGCAGTCACGAAAGCTTTAAATCAAAACATTCCACACTCCCACTGTTTGCTGTAGGCATAGAATAATCGGCCGGTGGACAACAGGGCACAGGTGAGCTTCTGTGTGTACGTTGAGCTCCTTTCGCACCGTACGTAAACCGATCCTGCTCATCGGAGCTTTCGTATCCACGCGTCGCGTTTGGATATCGAGACAATTCACGGAGTACGAACTTTCTTAAGCGATGCGACACGAAGACGATCGTGACCCGAATTGGTTTAAGTGAATTCGAATGATGTTCTTGATAGCTATAGGAGCAGCCGAAATGTTTCCCGAATTACATGCATGTACTAAATAGTAAGTGGGGGTCACTGCTCAGGACTAGAATAAGGGTTTTTTTTCAGTTTTCGTAAGCATTTTGTTAGTTTTATTTTAAAAGAACACAGTATATAGTGAGAAAAGAATGACAGATCACGCGTATAGCGAGCTCGGCGTAATGCGGCCCTCAACGTGAGCGAACCAACGAGGAAGCTGGTGACTAGAATGTCATCAGACGTTTAGAATGTTGGGGGTCGCTAAAGCGGAGGCCGCCGATTTGGTTTCACTCACGGACCGGGGGAGCAGCCTCAGCCTGGAGCTGCCCCAGCCCTGCTCGACACGAGACCCGTCAGCAGCAGCATCATCGTCAGCAGCAGTTTACTCTTTAAACTATTTGTTATTTAACCAGGTAAGGCCCCTCTGAGCTATACAGCTCTTTTTTTTTAGAAACGACCTGGCCACAAGTGAAAGCTCAACGAAGTGGCTTACTATCACGTGGACATTTGAAGCGGCCAAATTACTCGAAACGCGTTGGTGTCGATTCTAAACGTGGAGGTGAAAAACCGGAGGACCCAGAGAATAATCCCACACCACCACGGAGGACCCGGAGAATAATCCCACACGACCACGGGGAGAGAGAGAGGGACATGCAAACTCTGAATATATATGTGCGTTCGGGTCGGGATCGAACCCACGACCTCCTGCATACCAGGCAAGGTAGTTAACATCTCGCCACCGTGTCGGAGTGGACTAAGTAATACAACAATGCTCAATGGCAACAGTCACCGTGACATGGGACACGCACGCGTTATCATAATAATAAAAACAACAACAATTTTGGAAGCCCTTTGTCAAGATAAACTATGGAGAAATATCATTGCACCGCGAACACAATGTCAGAATCAGTCTTTATTCCTGGAGAAATCCGATGAGCTTTGAAGCTCTTCCCCCCCTTCCCCCCCCCCCCCCCGCCACAGATGTCCAGTAAAGACGGTCGCGACTGGAATGCACCACTATTATGTATTATATTATTACTATTATGTATTAGGCGCACTATTATGTTTTATATATAACCACGTTAATTGAAGACTTTGTTTAACTTGCACATTACATTAACCACCTTCGTTAACAATAAATACATTACACTTTTAAACACGTGATTTTTTTTTTAATTGACATAGCATGGAGACGCGATAGTAACGTTCCAAGTTGTGCTGTGCATCTGGACTGCTGTAGAGGCAAAGTGATCTCGCTCCTGTCAAACAGCGATGATAAACAACAATCCACTGCTGGATGAAGATCCGGTTACACATGGAAGAACAGACATGCCAATATATCAATAGGAGCATGAGGAGGTAGACGCAAGCACACATCGGCATGATGATAATGGGTATGTGTACGAACCCGGCGACCCGAGTTCCAGTACCGCTTTGCGTGTGCTGTGTGTGCACGTGCTACTGTATGTATCGCACGTGCGTGTATGTGCTATGTACTCTCACCACTGTGTGTGCATCATCACCACCACCACTTTGTGTACACGTGTGCATCATCACCACCACCGCTTCGTGCACACGTGTGCATCATCCCCACCACCACTACTTTGTGTACACGTGTGCATCATCACCACCACTTTGTGTACACGTGTGCATCATCACCACCTCTACTTTGTGTACACGTGTGCGTCATCATCATCGTCACCACTATACTACCACCACCGCTTCGTGCACACGTGTGCATCATCCCCACCACCACTACTTTGTGTACACGTGTGTATCATCACCACCACCACTTTGTGTACACGTGTGCATCATCACCACCTCTACTTTGTGTACACGTGTGCGTCATCATCATCACCACTATACTACCACCACCGTTTCGTGCACACGTGTGTGTGTGTGTGCAGAGCGTCCACGAGGATCCCTACCGGGATAGTTTCGACCGCGCGTCTCCAGACGCCGCGGGTTCCTCCTCGTCTGAGCAGCTGCTGCTCAGCCGCCTGGCGCGCGCCTTCATGCACTTCCCGCAGCGGTTCGGGCGCGCTGGGCCCTCGTCCCTCTTCCAGCCACAGCGGTGAGCGCCGTGGACTCAGCTACACCCCCCCCCCCCATCACTCAACTCACCGGTCTGGCTCGGCCACACCGATAGCGATCAACTGCGTTCGGCGCACGGTGCAAATCCAGAGACGCAAGCGCCCGCCGCTGCGAAACACCTGGGTTTCTAATGCCAGCCCCTACCTGATGCGTCCCATCAAAATAAACAAAGATCCCTCCGTATAGTCTGAACAGACCGTTGGGGGTGGGGGGGGAGGCAAGTGTCGTTAGCGAGTAGCCACCTATGAAGAGCCAGACGGGGGGGGGGGGGTGGCTGTGCCAGTACCACGCCCGGCCGCCTTTGTCTCCTCCGTGGCGATGTTTACACACCGCACCAGGGTACTCATTTGAGGCTGGGTCGACCTGGGAAAGGCCCAGGACCATTGGTCACTGTCATTGATCGTGAGCGGGACTCGTAACGCAGCCTGCGTTCAATTCCGGTTCTGCGAAGAGCCAGGGAATTTCGAACACCTGCGTTCGAAATCACGGCTCCATGCACACACACACACGCACCGACTACCAACACTTTGGCTGCATCGCAGCCCCGCTCAGATGCGCACCACTATGAACACCTGAGTTCAATTCCAGATTCACCGCTGGCTTAAGACAGCGTCTGATAGCAGTTGATAGTGCTGTACGTGCATTGAACGCAGCACTGCTGTTTGTATTAAAGTTGTAAGAGTAAGATCATATAGCATAATGAAACAGGTTCTCTGACTTCTAAACAAGCGAGGTTATTTTCATTCAATAAGCTTTGGGAAATAAATTAAACGTCTTTGTATTTAATATTAAGTGTTCTAAGTAAACAAAGAAGCGACATTGGAATGCAAATTCAACTTAATAACCTAAATTACTCAAACTATTTTTATGTATTTTACCAGGTAAGGCCCACTGAGCTATAAAGAAAAATTTCAGGCGCGACCTGGCCACACCCTCCATGCTCTAAAAACCCCTAATTGTTGCTATCATTCCTTTCACCAACTCAATTCCACGTTCAAGACCAACCTCGTCCCACCGTTCACGCTCGAGTGCCCAGCGTTTAAGTTGTCTATTTGTCTACGAGACGGTCGAGGGGAAGCGCGAATGCCCCTCGTCACGGTTCGAAGCGAGCGGCCGCCCTGGTCAATGCTGCGGTTGCACATTCACAGAAATTAAATACATCTAAAAAAACATTCACACCGTCTGTCCGCTTCACAGTGCGCGTAAAAAAAGATAACCGTGGCGTCATTGGCAAGTGTAGGCCGCTGTGTGCCAACAGTTTTGAAAAGGCCACCCGAACACGGAAGCCGATTACTGGACTGTCCCGGTCTAAGCCTGGACAGGTGTGAACCCCTAGCGGCACCCTTACCCAAAATAGAGGTTTTTGTTGGGTTAGATCGCGTAAATATACAAATGTGACCAGGTTAAACCCGCCACCACCCGACACGGCCAACTAGTAAGGGTTGTCATGTAAACAGAACGTGGCCAATTCGTCACCAACGACACATTTATATATTCACGCGAAATAACCCAAAAAAAACCTCTTATGGATGATATTGGTCGCGAAAGCCCACGTGTTAAACTGGCACCCTGACCTTTTACACGAGAACATGCTAAAATGTGTAACCGCGCCAGCAATTCGTTAAGGAGTCGATTCCTCGCCGGGCCCCCGTGTTTGCGCTCCTTGCAGGTTTGGCCGTGGATCAAACGATGACGAGGAGGTTCCACCCAGCCTCTTCTACCGGCGCAGCTGGGGAGCGCCGGCCGAGAAGTTCTGGATGCGCGCCATGCCCCAGCGCTTCGGCCGCAAGAAGTGACCCCAGTGACACGGACGCCACCCCCACCACCCCTCATCGCCACGAGGGCACGCAGCCAGCACCGCCAGCACTCACCAACACGACCCACCACTCCCTCAAGACCCCCCACACTCTCCACTCTCCCAAGACCCCCCACACTCTCCACTCTCTCTCAATACCCCCACACTCTCCACTCTCTCCCAAGACCCCCACACTCTCCACTCTCCCTCAAGACCCCCCACACTCTCCACTCTCCCTCAAGACCCCCCACACTCTCCACTCTCTCAAGACCCCCCACACTCTCCACTCTATCAAGACCCCCACACTCTCCACTCTATCAAGACCCCCACACTCTCCACTCTCTCTCAAGACCCCCCACACTCTCCACTCTCTCAAGACCCCCCACACTCTCCACTCTCTCAAGACCCCCCACACTCTCCACTCTCCCAAGACCCCCCACACTCTCCACTCTCTCTCAAGACCCCCCACACTCTCCACTCTCTCAAGACCCCCCACACTCTCCACTCTCCCTCAAGACCCCCCACACTCTCCACTCTCCCTCAAGACCCCCCACACTCTCCACTCTCTCTCAAGACCCCCACACTCTCCACTCTCTCAAGACCCCCCACACTCTCCACTCTCCCTCAAGACCCCCCACACTCTCCACTCTCCCTCAAGACCCCCCACACTCTCCACTCTCTCTCAAGACCCCCACACTCTCCACTCTCTCAAGACCCCCCACACTCTCCACTCTCCCTCAAGACCCCCCACACTCTCCACTCTCCCTCAAGACCCCCCACACTCTCCACTCTCTCAAGACCCCCCACACTCTCCACTCCCTCAAGACCCCCACACTCTCCACTCTATCAAGACCCCCACACTCTCCACTCTCTCTCAAGACCCCCCACACTCTCCACTCTCTCAAGACCCCCCACACTCTCCACTCTCTCAAGACCCCCCACACTCTCCACTCTCTCAAGACCCCCCACACTCTCCACTCTCTCAAGACCCCCCACACTCTCCACTCTCCCTCAAGACCCCCCACACTCTCCACTCTCCCTCAAGACCCCCCACACTCTCCACTCTCCCTCAAGACCCCCCACACTCTCCACTCTCTCAAGACCCCCCACACTCTCCACTCTATCAAGACCCCCACACTCTCCACTCTATCAAGACCCCCACACTCTCCACTCTCTCTCAAGACCCCCCACACTCTCCACTCTCTCAAGACCCCCCACACTCTCCACTCTCTCAAGACCCCCCACACTCTCCACACTCCCAAGACCCCCCACACTCTCCACTCTCTCTCAAGACCCCCCACACTCTCCACTCTCTCAAGACCCCCCACACTCTCCACTCTCCCTCAAGACCCCCCACACTCTCCACTCTCCCTCAAGACCCCCCACACTCTCCACTCTCTCTCAAGACCCCCACACTCTCCACTCTCTCAAGACCCCCCACACTCTCCACTCTCCCTCAAGACCCCCCACACTCTCCACTCTCCCTCAAGACCCCCCACACTCTCCACTCTCTCAAGACCCCCCACACTCTCCACTCCCTCAAGACCCCCACACTCTCCACTCTATCAAGACCCCCCACACTCTCCACTCTCTCTCAAGACCCCCACACTCTCCACTCTCTCAAGACCCCCCACACTCTCCACTCTCTCAAGACCCCCCACACTCTCCACTCTCTCAAGACCCCCCACACTCTCCACTCTCCCTCAAGACCCCCCACACTCTCCACTCTCCCTCAAGACCCCCCACACTCTCCACTCTCTCTCAAGACCCCCACACTCTCCACTCTCTCAAGACCCCCCACACTCTCCCCTCTCCCTCAAGACCCCCCACACTCTCCACTCTCCCTCAAGACCCCCCACACTCTCCACTCTCTCAAGACCCCCCACACTCTCCACTCCCTCAAGACCCCCACACTCTCCACTCTATCAAGACCCCCCACACTCTCCACTCTCTCTCAAGACCCCCACACTCTCCACTCTCTCAAGACCCCCCACACTCTCCACTCTCTCAAGACCCCCCCACACTCTCCACTCTCTCAAGACCCCCACACTCTCCACTCTCTCAAGACCCCCCACACTCTCCACTCTCTCTCAAGACCCCCCACACTCTCCACTCTCTCTCAAGACCCCCCACACTCTCCACTCTCTCTCAAGACCCCCCACACTCTCCACTCTCTCAAGACCCCCCACACTCTCCACTCTCTCTCAAGACCTCCACACTCATCCCTCTCTCAAGACCCCCCACACTCTCCACTCTCCCAAGACCCCCCACACTCTCCACTCTCTCTCAAGACCCCCACACTCCCTCAAGACCCCCACACTCTCCACTCTCCCTCAAGACCCCCCACACTCTCCACTCTCTCAAGACCCCCCACACTCTCCACTCTCTCTCAAGACCCCCCACACTCTCCACTCCACTCTCTCTCAAGACCCCCACACTCTCCACTCTCTCTCAAGACCCCCCACACTCTCCACTCTCTCTCAAGACCCCCCACACTCTCCACTCCACTCTCTCAAGACCCCCCACACTCTCCACTCTCTCTCAAGACCCCCCACACTCTCCACTCTCTCAAGACCCCCCACACTCTCCACTCTCTCTCAAGACCCCCACACTCTCCACTCTCTCAAGACCCCCCACACTCTCCACTCTCTCAAGACCCCCCACACTCTCCACTCTCTCAAGACCCCCACACTCTCCACTCTCTCAAGACCCCCCACACTCTCCACTCTCTCAAGACCCCCACACTCTCCACTCTCTCTCAAGACCCCCCACACTCTCCACTCTCTCAAGACCCCCACACTCTCCACTCTCTCAAGACCCCCACACTCTCCACTCTCTCTCAAGACCCCCACCACTCTCCACTCTCTCTCAAGACCCCACACTCTCCACTCTCTCAAGACCCCCCACACTCTCCACTCTCTCTCAAGACCCCCCACACTCTCCACTCTCTCTCAAGACCCCCCACACTCTCCACTCTCTCAAGACCCCCACACTCTCCACTCTCTCTCAAGACCCCCACCACTCTCCACTCTCTCAAGACCCCCACCACTCTGTCAAAAACCCCTCCAGTCACCAACTCCTCTCCTTAACCTCGTGCCACCCTGTTTCTTTAACCCCATTTGGCCACTCACCCAGCAGTGGATCGCAGCTGCTGCGTAACCCCCCCCTGCCATCCCCGCCCTGAAACCCATTCCGCAGTGGCAGCCCCAACGCCTCTTCCCCAGAATCCCGCGCAGTCGCGTCTCTGTGATGCCACGTGGTCTGTTTGTCTGTTCCGTGTCCCTCTAATGCAGGGTTTCAAGTCCCAACTTGTGTTTCGCTTAAATAAATGTCGTTGTTTATCTAAGTTATGATGAAACGTGTGTTTTTCTTTTTGGCTGAGTGAATAAACGGATTGAAAAACACACACGTGTATATATATAACGTGCATCTCTTCGAGGTGGTGGCTGCCTGGCTTGGGGACAAGAGCGCTGGTCCGGTGTGTTTGAGAACCTGGGTTCAAGTCTGGGTTGGGGTTCCAGCCTGGGTTGGGCTTCCAGGTGAACCGGGTTCTCAAGTTGACGTTGAATTCTAGCTCGGAGGAGTTCAAAGCAGGTCAGCGGTGTCACCGTCATACGACAAACAGAATCGTAATTTGTATTTTTTTACTGCAGGAGGAATCCGATGAGCTGTGAAGCGTTTGTCCACGGGGGACAGTGCGCGGGAAAGTTCGCCTTGAATGCGAGGCGAGATGTTAACTACCTCGCCTGGTATACACAAAGTCGTGGGTCCGATTCCCGACTCTAACATCGGTATATTTGGAGTTTGCGTGTCTCTCTCCCCGTGTGCGCGTGGATTTGTTCTCCGCGTCCTGCGGTGTTTCTCTCCACATTTAGAATCAACGTCACGCGTTTAGAGTCATTCGTCTGCTATACATTTCCACGTGATAAGCCACTACGTTGAGCTATCATTTGTGGCCAGGTCGCTTCTGAAAACGAACTATACAGCTCAGTGGGCCTTACCTGGGAAAAATAAAAAATACAGTTTTCACAGTTTATAGTTTGAAAGGATCTCAGAATTATTTCTACGAGATGTACCTACGCAGAGCCACGTTTTGACGCACTGCTTCAATGTGAGAACTCCAAATAGAATCTGCACCTCATGGTGCAGAATAAGATTTGGACAAAAAAATACGTTTTTTTAACGATGTACCCAACGCAAGCTGAGAACAAATATTCACAATAATAGTACTGTACTTCACTTATATATTTTTTCTCCACCAAATCCATTAAAAATTGTATTGAGCTATAAATATCGAGATGTGTCCGGAAGAGTGCAGGAATTTATCTTGCTTACAGCTGGAAACTCAGTGACCTCCCAAGCCACCGCTAAAGAGGTTGTTCTTGCAGGCTGCCCACTGCCGCTGTTTGCTAAATCAATCACGTGGCTGCTTTCCTTCATTAAACCCATTTTCGTGACCTCCACAACGTACGTGGGTAGCTCGTGTGTCGCGTGCCTGTGTGTGGTGTTACAGTCATCTCAGTCAGTAAACCCATTGGCACCTGGGTTTGTGCCGTGACCTCCTGCCAGCGGGCGTTCGACACTTAACGTGGCCTTAAAGTGCACCTAGCCTGGCACAAGCGCTGTCGTGACGTCACTGCCACTTAGTGGCGAACGGCGGTTGTTGTTGTGTGGGGAGTGGTGGCGCAGTGGTTAGCGCACGACGGGCCCGAGTTCGATTCTCGCTCACGACCAACAAGGGTGGTGAATCATTTGAGCCGGTCCTGGGCCTCCCCTGGGTCGCCTCAGCCTTAAAAGAGTACCTGGTGCGATGTGTGCACATCAACACCGTGGGGAGACGAAGGCGACCGTGCGCGTGGTGTTGGTCACCCACAGCCCCCTCGTGTGACGTGTCGGCCTTCATAGCTACTCGCGAACAGCACTTGCCCCCACGACGTGTGTGGCTATACGAAGCGGGGGTGGAGTGGGGGGCGGGGATCTTTGTCTTTGTTTCGTGTGTGAACGTTTGCAACGTGCCTGCATATGCGTCAATTTTTAGGATTGCGAGCAAGACCACGTGGGAAATGCAATCGCTGGAAAATCAAAATATAAATCACTTTGCAGGTCGTCCCTTGGAGAGACATTTCACTCAGCCACCTTTTGAAGAC